GGACTAGAAGACCTCCAAGATCCCTTCCAACTCTGTTATTCTGTTCCTCTAGTCAGTGAGCCTTTTCCCCACTCATCTTAATGAACTACCAAAGGGCAAGAGAGAGAAGCTTACCTCTGAGGGTTCGAGTGCAAGAACTGTTGAAACAATCTCAACTGCTGTAGCTAATAACTTGTAATGTGGTATTGCTGGAACCTGATGGCTGCACATCTCATGAAGTTTTTGACAGGCAACAGCAGAGTGTTTCCAATCACCTTGCTGAATTGTACTGAATTGAAGAAAGTTTGTATATTTGCGCAATTAAGAGAACACCAGAAATGCACATTAAAAGTATGCATAACAAAACAAGACTCAGGAATTCAAAATGACATTTGCAATGAAAACTAAGCTTACAGGAAGGTAAAATACTTCTCTTCATCTTCATAACCAGTCATACACATCCCCATAGTTGATTTTTTGAACTAGGAAGTCTTCTATAGAAGCCATTTTGTGAATATCAACACCACTCACTCATAAAATTCCAAACATGTGCCTCCCCTGGAAAAGTTGCCTACTACTGTATCAAAGTTAAGTGTTAAAGAGAGTCCTAACAAAATACTGGTAGTTCTGAGATTACCACAGCAATTGGGTGGATTATAATTAAGAGAAATTACCACTGGTAAATGATGCAAACATAAAGCATAACAGCAATGGTAGTCCTGTTTGCCATTATAACCTTAGGACTGTGTGGGTCACTAGGGGGAAAGAGGCAGGAGCCCAGGATAAGGAATGCAAGCAGATGCGTTTTTTGGGGGGGGGGGGATGCTGTGGGAAAGTGTTGGAAAGCATGGAAGAATTGGCAAGGACCATGGGGGAGCTGACAAAGGCAGGCCCTGGAAAGCACAGAGGGCCAGCAAGGGTATCAGGTAGGCTGGCAAAGGTGAGCACTGGGAAGCATGGGAAGTTGTCAGGCACAAACAATAGTGCCACAAGTGAAAGGTTCGAGTTGGTAACTTTACTGCATTTTACCTATAGTACAGGAGTTTCCCCAGACTGCTTGCCTTCTCTTGGGAACAGACAGGTATGGTTCCATGGAACTTGGGGGGGGGGCAGTCCTGGGTCTCTTGCGCAACAATTCAAGGCTAATCCCCTGCTTGATTCTTTCTCCATGACTAGCTGGGCATTCCTCAACAGAGGGCCAGCAATGGCAGCAGGCGGATGCTAAAAAAATGGGGACAGGGAAGCAGTGTCTATGGAATCTCATACTCTGTAGTGGGATTTCTTTGTAGGAAGGAAGAGTGAGGCCTTTTTTTTTTCTTTTTCCTTTTCTCAAAATCACTTCCTACTTTGTTCTAATAGTCTCCAATTCTCCTTTTCTGGGAGAAATAACCCAACCATGAAATGCTAATCATGGCATTTTCGCACATGAAAGTGGCATATACATGTTAATAAATAAAACAAATGAATCTTTCTAACTTCTCTTAAAACATTTTTATATATTAGTCTTTATGGTTATTAAAATAACATGTAATCTTTTATGATTAATAGTTTGTGGATCATGAGCAATCCATTTGATGGAGCACTTTATTGTGCAGAGGCATCATGCTTCCTTCAGACAGTGAGGGCCACGTAGGCCATTTTGTCTTAGAAGGCTGGGCCACACTTTTGATCAGCAGGTTAGCTTTGCAAATGGTGCTTTCTGAGCATGGTCTCTCCAGAAAGACCTCTAGCTGTGGGTTATCATTTTCAGCTTGACAAAACAAAGCTACATAAGTGATTCACTATCAATTTTTCTATTGTTTACTTCAGTGAATGAATGCTTTTTTAAAAACAAAAAAGTACATGCACATTTTACTTACATCTTTTTTTCTGACAGGATGTGCAACAATTTTTCTAAAAGCTTTTTTACATCCTAAAACAGAGAAAAAAGATCAGATTAAAAAGAATCACTGTTTTAGACAAGCATCTCCCAGACAAGTAGCTTTGTACAGTTTGCTGCCTAATGAGGTTGGTGTGTGTATGTATGGGTGTTGTGTGCATCTGAATGCCTCCATTTGTAAGAAACACATCCTACCCTTGAAAAGACTTGGAATTCTGTGCAGTGTATCTCCTTAAGGGCACAGGGTACCTTATTATCAGTTCATGATGGCTACCTAGTTTTGCCTGAGGCTGCCAAATCTGGCTGATTACTTCCCAAGTGAATGAGTATTCCTCCCATATAGGAAATTCTATGACATAAGCCAGGACATGCAGTACTGCCCTGATAAGAATAAAGCCCCTTTGCAACCGACTGTTAATATGGGACCCTTCCAGAGCTGAATGATGGATATTGTGGGCCCAAGATATCAAAGGCAAACAGTACATCTTGACCGAGGGAGGTTAATCTACCTGATAGACAAAAGTAGAAATTTGGTATGCCAAAATGATGCCAAATCTGTAAGTCATGCCTTAATGGACCAATTTACTAGAATAGCTCAGACAAACCTAGTTCTCATACTTGCTGATGCATATTTCACATCAGAAGTAATGACAAACCCATGGGTCTCTGGTATCTATCCCTTGTCATCATTAGACAAAGATGATTAAAAATGTTAATTAGAAATCAGAACAAACCTGACAATTCTGGCAGTCAATTCTCAAGTTCTTCAGTCTATAAAAAGTTCCCAGAAGACAGTCAAATGGATCAACGTAAGGGCCAGAGATAAATTCTACCAGGTCACACAATCGTAACAAGCAGAACCAGGATCTGAATAATGTTTGGTTTCCTTTCAGCAAATGCTTCTTTTGCATTATTAGATTCCTTTTCAACAAACAGAAATGCATGACAGTGACACAGAAATTTGAATAAAAACATGACATAACAAGTATTCTCCATTTGTAGGAGCTTCAATTTCAAAATTATATGGAATGTGAGGAACATTAAGAAATTTCAGGTTGGTTTTGTATTGGTCAGCTACTATAGCTAAAAAAACTGGGTTTGCTGATTCAGAATTTATTTATTTATATTTCATACTCCTTAACTGCCCATCTCCTCTGGAGAGGTGCTCTGGGTGGTGTGCACTTTAATCAATAAAATCAAACAATTAAAAACAGAACAATTTAGGATTAAAATGTTAAAATTATAAAACAACTTTATAAAATTGTAAAAGATGAAGAATTCAAATATAGGGAATTAGTTGTTAGTACAGGTGGGGCTGGTTCTCATAGGGTTAACCAGCTCCACAGTTGTGTGGGTGGACCCCTCTGTCTGCCCCATGCAAGGCTACACAGCCAGACTTTGAACTTTTTCCAAAAGGTCAAGAAATTGGGGGCTTTCCTCACCTCTGAGGGCAAACAACGACAATGCAATGACATAAAATTATCATAAAACATTTAATGACAAATCATTTGTCATAAAACATTTCCTGTTTGATTATGCTATACTTTTCAACATGGGCTACTTTTAAGACAGATTCATCTCTGAGTATGTCCCTGATTTTTTAAGACTTTAAAATACATTAGAAGCTCTGCATGGTAGAAAGCAATTGGGGAATTTGGTATGGAAATATCTCTGAAAAGATGACCCAATAGGTCATGAGGTTCTCTAGTTTGTTTATAACATTATCAGTTTTGCTTTGTTAAAAAAATACCTTCAAAACATGATTACAACCCACATCAAATCAGAACTATGCAACATTACAAAAAGTTAAAAACAAAAGAAAAATTATTTCGAAGCCATGTACAGTAGCACAGATGTGTAGATTACTGAACTTCTTAATTGAAAGGAAAAATTCATATGTTTTGGTGCCAAACATAACTGAGTTGAAAGGAAATGAGGTGCAACCCCTAAATAAGTGCTATTACAAGCCACGGCATTTTCAATTTTATTTCTACCTGGAGCCATATAAGCTTCCTTAGCCAGTTGCACCTTAATAATCTAATGTTGTGGATAGAAATACACATAATTTGAGTTATTCAAACTATACCACCTGTTTAAATTCTTTCATTCAGCATTTCTAGTTCTGCTTTAAAAGAATTCATGATGCATTCTGGCAAATGAAAAACTTGATCTGTTTGTTTGTTTATCACTTTTTGGATTGCCCACCTTCCTCAGAAATGGACTCTGGGCAGTGTACAATACAATGTTACATTATTGAAAACAGTATATATAAAAGTTAAAAATTTAGAAGAATGCAAGGATGATTAACTATTATTAAAATTAGTTAAAAGGCAAAAGGAAGACTTGCAGGGCACTAACCAGCCCCAGAGCTATGTGCTCCTCTGAGCTCCCCACACAAGGCCACAGAGCAACATTTTGACTCATTTTCGAAAAGCCAGGAGGGGGGGGGGATTGCCTCACCTCCAGGGAGATGAATATTCCATAGGGCCAGAGTAAGGCTCTCTTCCAACTAATCAGAGTTCTTAACTGTCAGGGTCGGCAATATACCTGACCTGATTGATCAGGTGGGATGGCTGATGTAATGGGATAAAGATGGTTTCATGGGTAGCCTGGCCCCAGGCCACATAGGGCTTTATAGGTCATAACCAACATCTTGAATTGAACCCAGAAGCAAACTGCCACCCTGTTACATATACCTTTCTTTGGGCACCTAAAATTGCTGACATGGCCATCTTCTCTACCAGCTGAAGCTTCCGATAATTTTCAAGGCTATCCCCATGTACAGCATGTTCCAACAATCCAGTTTTATTAGTTATTTAATATTAATCATTGGAATATTGTTGCAAAATATGGCACTACCTAAAGTGGTAGTTACCACCTCAGAAGTACTGCCTATATTACATAGTGGTTTCTTGTCCTCTCAATTCTTTCTTGAAACCTTTGCACACACCCCAGTCATTTTAATGGACTAATCAAGCAAAAAGACCCAGACCACTGGGGAAAGTTCAATTACTCATACAACAATTGACAACTTACTATTGTTATTAACATCAGTATTGTTTGGGAGGTCACATCACCAAACAGAACCATTTCTATTTCTTGGAGTCAAGTTTTGCAGTCTATAAATACTGACAATCCATGCCCTAGCTCAAATCAACTTTTAAAAGTCAAAAATCATTTCAAGAATAACATTAGGCTGAAAAACCTACCTATTGAAGTTTATGTTTTGATCTCTGATCCCCAAATACTGAATACCTTCCAATCTTGCCCATTTCTCTTCTGATGCATGCCAAGTCCTAATCTTACATTCAGAATCAGTCAAAGTAAATAGGTAAAGAACTGGGAGTGTCCACACCCACTGGTGAATCTTTTCTTCAATACAGCTGTTACAGAGAATTATCAACTTCTCCTCCACACTGAAAGAGATAGAAAAAAATAAGTTCTAGTGAAAAAAACTATTTATCAGAAATTCTCTGTGCAAGCTAACTTGCTTTTCTTACTGCCAACAGAAATACAGTCCTTCAGAAATATAACAAAATAATGTAATTTTTCTTTCTTTCTGTTCTACACTGGTGGCCCCCAACCATTTGAGACCAATAAGTGGCGGGCCAGAGAAAACACCTGCCCTAAGACAATAGGAATCGTATTTACAAAATAGCTGCCATGACAACACAGCTACTGAGATTATCTTGAATGATCTAGAGATCAAGTTACCTTTTTTTACAATAGCAAATGGGATCTGTTTTTAAATAGGGAAAGAAAGATCTTGGGTGTTCTTTACGTGAGAGGATGCACATAATTGGGACTTATACATCTTTTGTAAGAGCTGTACAAAACTTTTCATTTTCTTTATTTCCTATTCAGTTAATTTTGTCCCTCTTCATCTCCATCCTAGCTACATTTGCCACATTCTTTTCCCTTTCCCTTTCTCCCTATTACCCACTGTTGTTGTTTCTTCTTACTTTTTGAGGGAAAAAGTAAGGGAAGGAGGGGAATGTCTTCTGGGAAGAATATAGAGAATGTGTTGTGCTTTGGATATACACAAGCCAAAGGCCTGGTCAACTACAGAGTGTCCACCTTTGATCAGAATGTAATCTCTTTGCAGGCCTGTCTAGCAAATAACCTTTTCTAGTGATCATGATGAATAATAAGCTTAATCAATAGCATGATGAATATTCTAGTGCAATGAAGTACGAACAACTCATCTAACAGCTCAGATGTAGGGAAATACAGCAGCATTCTTATGCTGGACTAAGACCACCGTATGCCAAAAATCAGAAAAGATCAAAGTTTCACTGATGGATGAAAGCAGTCAAGAGTCAGGGCATGATTCCAGGGTCAAAAACTGCCTGAGAACACCTGAATCTCCCCTCCAAATTGTTTCCTGCGTGGGGAAATATTTCTGGAATCAAGATGCTCCAAGACATGTTTTGGAAACCATCCGATTACTAATTTAGACAACATATTTGCTTACATCAGCTGGGAAACTCACATTGATCAGTGGCATGTACTTCTGACTGAGCTGCATTGAAATTAAGCATATGTACTAAAAGGACAACAATATTCTAACTTTACAGCAATAAATCCATGCAATTATTGTATTGTGCAGTATTGCCTTGTGTGGTGATTATGCTTAAAGATAAAGATCCTGAGGGGAGGGAAAAGATTCCTTATGTTTTGTGTGTGTGTGTGTGTGTGTGTGTGTGTGAGAGAGAGAGAGAGAGAGAGAGAGAGAGAGAGAGAGAGAGAGAGAGAGAGAGAGAGAGAGAATGTATTTTTGTCTGTAAGGGAGAGCATGAAGATAAGGCTTAAGGTAATTTTACAAACAAAATTTGTTTTATAAACAAATGTAATTATTAGTTACCAATTATATTAATATTTCTTTTTTGCCTGGCTCTGCCCCTTTTTTAAAATGTGGCTTTTAGCAGATATGAATATTTATATCTGTCACATGACAGCTACCATGGTGCCAAAGTTAAGATGCTAGACTGGCACCAAGAAGACCCAGGTTCAAGCATACCCTCAGCCATGGAAGCTCATTAGGTGATTTTGGGCCAGTCTATCTCTCCAATACCTACTTCACAGGGAAAACTGATAAAATTTATAGACAAGTAACTATTTGAGCAATTCATGTCAAATCACTAAATGTACACAGATCTTTTCAGAAATCTATCACATAAAAAAAACATTAGAATCAAAAACAGCAAAGCAGGCATCTAACATCTAACACACCCAATTGCTTGCCTTCCTCCCAACCAAACTCATGTTCTTTCTACCTTAACCTTCAGTATCCTCATTCCACTCTACATTCTTGCCATATGCCCCAAAGTCAAATTACATACCCCTGACACTCTGAAAACATCTCTCTGAAGCGCTTGGTTTCATTTACATCTGCTGGTGAGTTCTCCAGACAAAGAAACATGCATAACTGTTCCAATCCCTCTTTGGACAGTCGAAGATTGTAATCTTTTACTAATGTAAGGGTGATCAATGCTAGACCTAGTTTATCCCACATCAAAGTGTTCTGTTTGAGGATGTTACTTGATTGTTCCATCAAGTAATTCATAATCAAATCTTGCAACTTTAAAAGGGAAGGAGGGAGAGAAAGAGAGAGAGAAAGAATTGCATGTTTAACCATATATCATATTAAGGCATAAGCTATAGCTAAAAATCAAAATATTTAAGTTCATATACATTGTCCTGAACCTAACCCAATGAAAACACATTATACATTAGACTTAAAAAGGCCAGGAAATTGGTTTAACTTAAGCTATTAACATGTGTAACAGCTCTCTGTTTCTGAAATAGTGATTATGCAGAGGTGTTAGATCAAAAAATGATCAGACTCAGGTGTCCAATTGATTGAAATTATTTCCTGGATTTATTGTGCAATTTGCCACCTCATCTGACTGCAATATTATCAAATCCTATTATGCTCTATGGAATATGAAAAAGCTAAGGGAGTAGAATCTAAGCTGCTATCAGCCTTGACAGAGCACAAATGGAAGAAACCTTGGGAAATTATGCACTGGGATCTACTTCTAATTGCAGAAGAAGAGGAACTGAACTTTTATTGCACCTGTTGAAAGTAATTCAGCACCTTCTTGGCTGGGATACTAAAAAGGAGGAAAAAACAGTAGCTCAGAGGAAGCAATTTGTACCATCTGTGTAATTAAGGTCAATCACATCTTCCTTAGACTGGGCATCAGCATTGGGACATATGAGAATACCGTATGTAATGTCTACACCCATTTTTCCCATTAATTTAAAATTCTTTCAGTTTGTATACTCTGAGAGCATGGTTCACAGTAGAGGATCAGGGTTATCATCTATTTAAAAACATTTTGCTCTTTGTGACTGTTAAATCAGCCAAAATGTGACTGGCTTCATAGTTAAGGGAAGTGATCCATGCAGATTTGTAGGTGGGAAATGCCCAATACTAGAAATTCTTTTATTTGAATTTCAAGATCTATAATGCTGCAATCTCTGACTTTATTTAATGTCTACATGGAACTGCTAAGAGAGGAAATATAAGCTTTGGAATAGGGTGGCCATCAACTTTCTCCTTACTATTTTACTCTAAAGAAATAATCAGTATCAGTATTGAATACTGACAAGGGGTTAATAATGGAATAGATTAGACTGACCATAACTCAGGGAAGTTCAAAATACACTATGAGCCATAGGAAACATATCTCAGAAACTGGGATCTCATTATGGGCTCCTTGCTGATCCTCTACTCTTATTAGATTCATAGGTGGTAACTATAGAAAGGAATATATTTGGTCAATTATGTCCACTGTGTCACTCTATCTATCTATTAAATTTGTAATTGCTCTAGTGGCTAGATTTGGCCACTATCCATGCATCACAATTTAAATTATTTTCTACATTCAAAAGATTCAATATATCTATAGCCGAGATGGCGATTGAGACCCCCAGACTGTTAGTCATGGGGGATTTCAATCTGCCATCGTTAGGTGAAGCATCTGAGATGGCTCGGGAGTTCATGGCCTCCATGACGGCCATGGACCTGACCCAATTAGTAGATGTCCCTACCCACACCGGAGGACACACACTGGACTTAGTTTTTGCCTCCGGCCAGTGGCTGAGTGATCGTGGTTTAGGGGAAATAGTTGTTGAGCCCGTCATGGTCAGATCACTCTCTCCTTCGGCTGGCCTTTCCTACCGCTATGCCCCACCGCGGGGAGGCGGAACCAGAAGTGACGAAATGGTTCCGCCCCAGGCGCCTGATGGACCCTGAGAGGTTCCAGACGGAGCTTGGGCCAATACCTGAGACCTTGACCCGCGGCTCGACTGAGGACCTGGTGGCCGCCTGGAATGGTGCGGCCGCGGGGGCCCTGGACCGGGTCGTGCCTTTGCGGCCCCTCACCCGATGCCGGTCTACCTTGGCTCCTTGGTTCTCCGAGGAGCTGAGGGTGATGAA